GGCCCGCTTTCAGACGGAAAACAATTCGCTCGAGACAAATCGTCACGCTCTGCTAGTGGTTGTTTGTGAAGCGCGATCGATGAGGGCGAGTCCGGAGGAGGATGAGAGGGTGTAGGACATGGACTCATTTAAACCTGGCCATAGAAATGCATACGTTCCGTGCGGCTAATTTTTGGTGCCTATTATTTAACACACCACACAGTGCTTACACCGCAAGAAACTTGTTAAATGCACCTCGTGTGAAATGAAATGTAGAAACGATGTCCGTTCTGATTTTGTGTCGTGTATAGATGGCAAACTGAGTGTGTGGAATGGGGTTGGCTGGAGTTCGGTATTATCGTGAGACTAGCCAACCCATTCCACACCCTCAGTTCGCCCCAGTCAGCACACTGAAAACAAAAGTGTGCAACTGGCATGCACATGCTAGTGTTCAGCGGCCCCCAGTGACCCCTCGACTACCCTTAAAATTTCTCTCTACACTCTAAATATCAAGGGACAATTTCGTTAAAAAAAAGCAACGTTTTCGTGCACATCCAAACCTGATCCAATGCTGTCACTCCCAGACACCAAAACGCTTGCCGCTAAATACTGGTAACGCTCCCAACGCTATTAAATGGTAAAAAGGGATGGGTAAAAAAAACGGTTGGTCCGATTTAAAAAAACAAGAAACAATCGAACATTGTAGCGATTCTCTTTCAGGTGGAAGGAACTAACGGGAGAGTGGCGGGATCAAGAAAAGAGCTTGGCTTGGACGACAGAATGGTTTATTTTTCTACTTAACTATGTACATGATGAAAAAGGGGGTGGGAGTGAATTTCTACCTAGAGTGATAATTTGGTGAGATGTGAGAGGCCTATTACTGAGGGTTGACGATCTGGAATCCATTTTCGTCAGCGATGTAGTGCACCTCGACAGGCGTTCCCTCGGGGCTGGTGTATTTGTAGGAACCCTCCCTCCTCAGGTAGTAGTCGTCCTTGTTCTCGCCGTCCTTGATCTTGACCAGGGCGCCCGAGTCGGTGCGGGCGATGCCGTCGGCCGAGACGATGGCCAGTGCGAACTGTCCGTGGTCGTCACGAGTCTCCTGCCGGCTGATGATGGGCACGGGGGTGGGCCTCTGGAACTGCTCGACCTGCCGCGCCTGCTGGAACTGCTGCGGCTGCTGCTGGAACTGCTGCGGCTGCTGCTGGAACTGGGACTGGGGGCGGGCCGCGGCCAGGGCGGCCAGGGCCAAGACGACGACCAAGACCTGAACAGAAAGATGGTGAGTGCACGGCCGGGGTTAGAGATATCGCGCACTAGTGCACTGGTGCGTGCTAAGCTACTCACTGGGGCGTTCATGTTGCTGGCTGACTGGCTGTGGAGCGAGTGTGCAAGCCGCCCCTCTGTCCGGAGTTCATATACTCCTCGCGCCCCTCCCCACGAGGTGCGGTCTGTGGCGGGTTCACCGCGACCGGGGCGGGCCCGTTGGCTCCGGTGCGGTGGCCCTCGGGGGCTCAGCTAGCACTAGGCCCTCGTGTTTTGGACGTACATTCTCTGGCATTATTAATACGATGCGGCAAATCTTGGTTTTTCCAGGCACGGACTGAAGGATTTTACTTACTATCTTTTAATTTTTCCTACATTTGCTCGATACGGAGTACCTGCGAAATCCCAACACGCCTTCGTAGACAAAAATAGAGCATTATTTTGCCACCCTCATTTGAATTTGTTCTAGAACAGTCGACCATACGTAATACACCTGAATAAGTTAATCAACAAAATCACAAGGAGTTCTGGAAACTTTTTCACAATGAACTCTTCGTGACATCCTGATGTTTTCACAGTGTACTGTAGACTGTCGATTTAATGCTTTCAAGGTTCAGAACTGGAGTGAGAAAGTAGGGATGTCGTATGAGGAATTAAATCGATATATCTCTATTCTGGGCAGCACCACCCGTGCGGAGAGAGGACAGGTGCGGGATGAGGAGAAACGGAGTCTCGAAGGGGTGAAATCGGGGGAAAAGATAAAAGAGTTAACTTGCGGAGGTACAAGTACAAAGCAGAGATTCACTTTCTCGACCGCTTATTCCGTTTATTCGCTAAATGAAGTTTTTTTCGAGGTAGACGAGGTAATACGGATTCATAAAGACGTTAAGCATCGTGCGTTTTTCAGAACACACGATGATCTGCAGTTACGCGATTGTTCGTGCGCTGTGGATTTTCAAAGCAGAAGGGTAGGATACAGCCACGGCAGCATATTGTTGTAGTTTTTGGTCATCTCCTGGCCCGATTTAGCTATCCGCAGAGGTGCAATCTGACTTAAAGGACCAAATAGGCCAAGCATTCAGCAGCAGAGCACCGCTTTGTTAACAGACACATGCTCTTCGAATTACAAAGCCGAGCCAATTGTTCGTAATACAAAGGATTAAGTATTACGTATTACGAAGGTGCCAAATCCTTTGTACGTTACAAAGAGCCGGTCTTTGTAAGCAACTTACAGTAGCTGGAAGTCTCCACACTGTGAAAAAAGTGCCTCGCGTTCCGGTGCGGTGCGGATAAGGTGTTTCTCGAGAAGGTTTCCTCCCTTTCATGGTTCGATCTGCAGCCCTTTGTAGAGGAAGAGGGGTACAGAACAACGTAATAGGCTACGTCTTGGGCTCCGTACGTAAAGTATCGGATTAACCACTTAAAAACATTACGGAGCAAAATGCCAAATCTTTCGCAATTTTGCTTCGTAAGGTTGTAACTGTGCAATAAGCAGTACCCTTTTCCGTACATTTTCCGTACCTGCAGTTTCATTTAAGTGAGCTGTCCCAGAAAAAGAAGTACGGAAACAACAAAGGAATTAAGTTACCGTTCTATAAATGAACGGTTATATCTGTAGATTTTTTTACTGTTTTACTATTTTTACAGTTCTCTCTCTCCCTCTCTCTCTCTCTCTCCTCCGGTAAAACCAATAAATTCATAATAGAATAAAGTTTTAATCCGTTTTTATTGCATTTTTCTGTTTACAATTAGGCGGTAGGGGTTGACTAGCACTCCGCACACGCCCCCCAGAGTGGTGTGGCTCGGCGTGGTGTGGCGTAGCGAGGCGGCATCACAGGTGGTTGTCTCTAGAAGGTGGCGGGGACGGCGGGGACCTCGGGGGCGACGGGCAGATGGTCACCC